CTGCCAGTATACCAAGAACCATTAATAACCATCCTATGGAAACCAGGTCTAAATCTGGATAACAATACTATAAACATACTACAATTGCCCAAAATATAATAAGCTAATATAATAGTTCATTCATGTGCACTATTTAATGGACATAGACTAAATTAATCATGCATGTGGCCTCAACAAAACTTCACAAGCAACACACAACTCTACCACCCACAACACACATCTCAACTCACTTTCAACCCTCAATCATCATTCATCTCAAAATATTATCATATAAAGAATGAACAATATTCAACAATTTAAATACTTAACTAACATAACTTATGTTACTACTAGGTATGAAAAGTGAGATTTTGTTTTATGTAGATCAAACATAATGTATGAGACTTTCATTTATAATTTATTTACACTAGATAAAAAATTTGTACATGCATAAAAGAATAAATGATAATTAATTTTATAAACAATTATTTATGAACAATTACTAAAAAAATACATAAATAAATAAAGATCAATAAAAGAATTTATATAAAAATAAAAATTAAAAGAAATATATCTTTATATTTCTGTATATATAGTTAAAGATGCGACAAAATTAAACTAACTTTTAATTTGTTTATCCTAATAACTACATTTAATTTAATTTTGCACTCTACACACCCGTGTAAATTTGTGCAAGATATTATAAAATCAGAATATTTCTCTGACACATAAAAAGTGTACTTATCAGATGTGAAATACAACAGTAAGTACAAATCTAAATAAAATGAAAAGAAAATATAATCTTACACAAAACTAAAAAAAATTAATTCACCATGTACACAACAACATCAGGTTGTTTCATTGCGATAATTTCGAAGGGCTTTCATATAGCACTTTCCGATTAATCGGTCAATAATGTATAAATTATTGACTCCAAAATCAATAGTGTCTTAACTTTGACTAATTAAAATATTTGCATGAGGAAAGATTCTTCGTCCACTATGCCTTAAACTTTTGCTTTTATATATTGCTGTGAGATCAGGCACAAAAGTTTTGTTCCTAAAAATGCTCAAGAAATATCTTTCCAAAAAAAAAAAAACAGCTAATAAAAATATAAATTGTAGTGAACTCTCTTATGGTCTTCATATGCAACCTGCTGCTGTAAACGGCCCCATCTCTCTCACTGCCTTTTGTGATGCTGATTGGGCCTCTGATATTGATGACAGGAGGTCCACTTCTGGTTCTGCTATCTTTTTTGGACCCAATTTGATATCTTGGTGGTCCAGGAAACAGCGTGTTATTGCTCGGTCCAGCACAGAAGCTGAATATCGCAGTATAGCCCAAGCCTCTGCTGAATTAACTTGGATTCAAGCCCTTCTGCAAGAACTTAAGGTTCCCTTTTCTACACCTACTTTGCTCTGTGACAATCAAAGCGCGGTGGCCATTGCTCACAATCCTGTTTTCCACAGCAAAACAAAGCACATGGAGATTGATGTGTTCTTTGTTCGTGACAAAGTCCTCTCCAAGCAACTTCTGGTTTATCACAAACCAGCTCTTGATCAATGGGCTGATCTTCTTACTAAGCCTTTGTCTGCTGCTCGGTTTGAAGTTCTTAGGGACAAACTCAAAGTGCAAAGTTTTTGTGTCAAAACTTCACCTTGAGTTTGAGGGGGGCTGTTAGTGTATATGGGTTACAACAAAAAGGGAATATTTGTTTGTTAGTCCTTTTTGCTTTTTGCATTCTGTGATATCTTTAGGATATCTTTAGAATCTTTTAGTGGACAGCTGTCCTGCCACCTCTCTTGTTTTTCTCTCTCCGCTGGTTGCTTTTACAACTGTTTTCTCTCTTTTCTCTAGCTGCTGTATTTAGAAACGGTTCTCTATATATTCAGCACTCCTTGTATTCTTTCTACAGCAACAATGATAATAAAGCTTCACTATTACATTTTACCTCTTGATTTTATCTAACAATTTATGCTATAATCCAAGCCAAAAGGAAAAACTATCAAGTACTTATGCAACAATTATGTACAGGACCTTGTAGGACCTTATTGGTCTCTCAGAGCTGCTTTAGGGCCTCTTTTGGAAACTCTTATTCTACTTGATAGGTTATTGTTTCTTCAAGAGCAAGGCAATGCTCTGGAAGCCTGCTTGTTACCAATATTTGATCCAAACATATCTCCAAGAAATGTGGCCATAATTGCGAAAAAGGCTGACAAAGATTTAAGATTCTCCTGTTGCTGAAAGGTAAGTAGTGTGTTTGCACGTCATCTATGCGTATCCCTGCCATTTAATTTTGTTACCCACGCCATCTATTTGAATATTGTTTTGTTTTATTACTCTATTACTGTCTTTCTGTAGCAGGATACAATACATGCCAGAGTTCTCTTTCCAGACAAACAAAAGTGTGAAGCCAGACGGTGAAAGCATGAATGACTCAATGTTGCTTGGTTGGAGTGGAGTTTCTTGGTGAGATCCTTTTCTTGGTTGATGATTT